ATAATTACCCCATATTGCACTCATTTTATCAGCCATTGCTAATGTTTTCTGTGTGATCCTCTAAAGCTTTTCAAGAATGAAAGCTCTGTCTGCTGCTCCCAGCACTTTGCCTCTGTGACATATGAATTGTGCCAAATCCATTTTGAGTTTTTGTTTTTAAGCTCTGAGTACAAGGGTGAAGTGAAAATAAAGTGTGAATAATGGTCTTTCTCTCAAAGGCAATGTGATATTGCGTTGAGCTGAAAAATTTACTCTCATACAGATCGGCCCTGCCAGTATGAAGGGCTGATGGATGCTGAGCACGATCCAGCTGATATCTGATACGGGGGAGGGGGAGGGGGAGGGCTTCTCAGTGTTGCTGACAAAGCTATAACAAGATCCAGGGACTGGAAGCTGAAGTTAGGCAAATTCAACCCTGTCGTAAAATGCTGGTCATGAGCATAATAAAATATTATAACAGTTTATTGGGGCTCATGATGAATTCATCATTAAGAAGTCTTTAGTATTTTCTTTTAAAATCAGTCTTCAGCTTCTGGGAGAATTTCTATGACCAGCCTGTGAGCTGGAGGATCACAGTGATCCCTTTTGGTTTTGTAATTGAAGTGCACTTGTTAACTTCCCTACTTTGCTAGGCCTTAAGGAGAAGAATTTACCAGAATTGCCCTTAACAATTCTCACAGCACCTGCAGATCTGCACAGAGATAACTGTTCTAATTAAATCCTGTCCTTTAGGACTACATAGGATTGTCCACAGAGATGGGAGGAATTGTGTGCTCTCCTCCCCCTCCTCCTCCTTTTCCCCCATACTTGCTTGGGTTGGATCTTGAGGGCTTATTTTGTAAGATATTTTCTTTTTACCTTATTTGTGTTTACTACAGCGTGGGAGTGGCTCACCTGGTGGGATGTACCTCAGGAAATAGATTGCCCATTATCACAGTTGCCTCTGTCAATGGTGACACACATCAGGCTCCCCCACCTCTGCCACTCAGCAGTATTCAACAATTCGTGCTCTTGAGAGCTGGAATGACGTTCTGGTGAAATGGAAACCTTTGAGCTTCATATAGGGACATCTGGATGGAGCTTAATGATATGGGATATACATGAAGCCGCATAATCACAGGAGCTGATTCCCTCCTGATCTGAACCTCTTTAAAATATATTAAATTAGAGGTTGCTGAACCAAAGAGCACTTTGTACATCTCACAGGACTGGGCTCCCTGTTATTTCCGTGTCTGAAAAGCAGACAGCCCCCACCTAGTGAATTCTCAGGTTTGAGCGTATCTTCTTGAAAAGTCTGCTCACCTGCAGGCTGTCGGGGACGTACCAGGGCTGCTGCACATCACTGCCTGAAGTTAAATGTTTCTGTTACTATGGGTATTGAGGAAACTCAAGAACAACACGGGTTTGGGAAATCATTATAGTCAAGAAACAGCTCTCTCTTCTGCATTTCGAGCCCTGGTAGTATCACATTCTGTTTTGACAGCTGTCAGAAGTTAAAGAAAGATACTTGGGGAGAGGAGGGTTGAGCTACAGGAGAATTGTTATTTACAGCACTCGCCAACAGTTGCAGTTTTCACTTGGTAACATACATGCTGTCTGTTATTCTTTCTCTTTTCTTCTCCTTTGCTCAACTTTTGCGCCTTTTATTTCTGTGGCTCTTGTGACAGGGACTGGTGCCATCCAACCTGTGCTGCTTTCAGTAGGAGATGTCTTTGTGATGCTGTGCATGTGCAATGCAGACCCTATCCTGCCTTAGTTTTATTCCAGCTCTTCTTCAGTCACTGTCAACTTCCAAACTTCTGCTAGTGCCACTGTCCTCCTTTCATCTCCCGAATTTAAGCTGCAGTTTTGCCATGAGGAAAAGGAATGCACGCTAGCTCTTTCCTTCTTTTTTTTTTCCTTCCCACCTGACACCATTTATCCTCACAGACGATTGTAACAATTTGGTTTTTAAGGTGACACTCTGCCAAAGGTCTCTCATGTAGCTGTTTATTAAAAGCTTATACTTGGCATTTATATTCAAGGGAGGAACATTCATAGGAGTTGGAACACAAGGGGCTTCTGTGCTTGCTCTCTGGTTTGGATTCCCACCTGTAGAAATAAACATTATTTTTACTTTGAATTATTTTAGCTTTAACTCAGCAACACCTGAAACTTTTTTTTGTAGTCAGCCTTTTTTATTGTTCTGTAATTGCAAATAAAGATGCTCTCCTAACGTTAGTTGAACTTGGCAGAGAGTTTGCAGAGGCTTAGCCCATGAAAACGGCTATTCCTACTCTGTATCACACGGTGGCAGAAAGCACCCGGCATATGCTCTCTGCTCTAACACTTTGGTAAATCCTGTCAGATAATTTCAGTATGCAGCACTTTATAAAGAAGATAGTACTTTGGAAAATTAGGTCTGTTTAATTGTCTGTGCAGAAAGAGCTTATTTTATAGCAAAGCAATATGCATTCCTCCACAACTTGCAGGATGTGTATTACGTGTGTGTGTAGGATTCATTGAGGTATTACATCTGACAGTCAATATATATATGCAGTAGTGTAGAAAAGATAATTATATAGCTGGAATATATATAGGCATTTAGTTTTAATTAGGCTTTTGATTAAATATAAAAGTGCAATTAAGAGTGACAGATACGGTAGATCCTGGTAGACTACATGACAGTTTTTGGCTGGAAAAACTCCTGAGCTGATTTTTTTGTCAGACTTGATTTTTTTTCTAAAGATCTTAGTGACTGTTCTATTGAATCTTTGATCTGAACTACTCCATATTCTCTTTCTATATATGTATACATGCTTATCTGTGTGTTTTCAGTATTTCTGTTGGAAACAGATATGATATTAATTTGCAAGAAAATTGTTTGGGTTTTTTTAAGGAAAGATGATAGAATTTGGATGTTAGCCAAACAGCTAAGAAATAAATTTGGGTGTTTTATCCATAGTAATACATTTTAACTGTATTTTACCAAGCTTCTCAGACTTTCTTTTCTGGATAAGGATGCTATTTCTGTGCACGTGTCTCTGAGCACATAGGCATGAGCGATTTGTTAAGGGCTTACATATGAGAGACTTATATAGGATTTAACATGTGAGGGAAAGGATATTATTATGAAAATTTAAAAGTAGATATTACAAGATCTGCTTGTATCACTGACTCTGATACAGACATGAACAAATGACTCTTAAGTTCCATGTCTGCTATTGCACTGAGCTGGTGTTTATATTAGAAGCCTTAGTTTTGTAGACTGCTTGGGACAAGATGGGTTTAAACCAATCCTCTGTGCACTACTTTTGAAAATAAGGCCACTAACTAATTATGGATATGAAGTTAATTATAGAGTCCTCCCTTAAACAACTTGGCCAGGATATTTGTCTGGTGTCTTAACTAAATGAGTCAGATAATCATTACATAAACTGATTGGAAAAAGAAAAAAGAGCAAAGAACCCTTCAGTTACTGTCAGTGTGTCTTGACTATGGTTCGTTGGAGTTTTGCTTAATTTTGCGCCATTTCACGGTGGGTCACTGAGGCTTTCCAGTGTTACACCAACATTGTGAGCCAAATGCAGTTGCTTTCTGGCTTTGTTATGAGTCTGCTGCAGGACCTTGGGCAAACCTCCTCTTTCCATCTACCATGGCTACTGACAATGTGGATGCTCCTGAGCAGGACTGTGACTGTGATACCTGTTTGCAGTGCTCATGGGTGTTAGGATCCTATCAGCAACTGAGGGACAAATTATAGGAGCACAAAGAGCTCACAATAATATTTGTTGCAGGGACAAATGGGCATGGCTCCTCCTTGACATGATAGAGGATGATGGCCAAACCTTGAGAGATGATTTTCTGCACATCAGTAAATCCCTGCATTTTCATTAAATTGCTTACTTAGGCTCAAGATTGAAGTTGGCATCATTGGAAGGGCTCCCGTAGACTCCAGCGCAGTGACACAGGCAGCTGTTTCCCATGTCTGTCTGTTACAACTTGTCATTTTGTTTCACAGTATGGAAGGTGTGAGAAGTGACAGGACTAAATAAGCACAGAGGGAACCGACTGTTTTATCTGGCCGTGTTAACGAATAAGCTGGGAGTGAAGTTAACTTCATGTGAAGCAGTTTAAATTATTTATTTTCAACACTGGAACTGTACTTAACATGTTGTTAAGGCAGAGCCATGTTGACAGGGTGACGTTAATTACCGCCCTGGAAACACATCACGTTAGCTGAAAACAATTGTTCTCAGCTATCATTCATAGCTCTGGATACAGCCACAGCCTTTGCAAAGCTGGGCAAAGAGTTTCCCTCACCATCCGTGGAAGTTCCTTATGAATCCACCCACAGCTGCAAACTAGCTCTTTACTTACAGCAACAAGACATGAAGTTTGATGGTTGTGGGTTTCTTGCATCCCTCTCTCTATTTTATTTATAGTTTTGTAAGCTGAGTGATTGTGTGGTTGATTTTCCCTCCATTAGATATGGCAGGTCTTAAACATGTGAGGATGTTCATTCACCAACCCACCCGGATATAGGCATATGCTTTACTGTTCCTGTAAATGCTTTCTCACAACTCCCTTAATGATTCAGTTCCCACTCCTTAATTCATAGGAAGACTGCTGTGACCTTTGGAACAGGAAATTATTGTGTCTGGGTTTTCCATTCTTTGCAAAGGCTTTGGCTTACACATCCCTACTGAGAACTGGATGTGACTTGACTAACATTTGTATGGATGTGTGCTAATAAAAGTAAGGAATTGACTTTTTCCTCCCTTCTTGTTCTGCATTGCAATGAGTTTAGGACTCCAAAATGACCCAGCTGAGAAGCGCTGAGAATATATCTACAAGTAAATGAATGGCTGGCTGCTTCCAGTTGCTACATTCTGTTTTTCTAGATGCACCTGTTCCATGGTTAATGCAACTAGAGATCCTACTGGGAGAATGCATGTGTGCAGTGTTTGTTCATGGCGGTGTCAGGCTGCGCCTAATAACGTCTAACTCTCTCTTTGTAGGTTAGGCCAAAGACCCTGATTCCAGACAGCCTCCCTATCTCCCCGTGCAGAGACCAACCTTCCAAGCAGCCTCCTACCTTCCAGAAGGCAACAGTAGTCAGCATCAAAAACCCCAGCCCTGCCCTCCCGACTGCCAACAACACCGTCAGCCATGTACAGACGCCTAACAGCCAGTCACAAAGTGTCACCGAGTCTGCAGCTATTTCATCCCCTCTGAGCAGTGCAGGTGTGGCGTACGCCATCATTTCCACCTCCCCCAGCAATGCAGCTCCTATCAGCACAAGTGCGACTGTCTCGGTGGTCAATGACAGCATTAAAGTGCAGCCGCTCCTCATTAGTGCCGACAGCAAGGTGAGCTCTTTCATGGCATCTCCTTTTGGTTATCAAATACAGGATCTACGTTGCAGATGTAAGCAGGATATCCCCCTGGGAGTGCACAACCCTGTGCAGAGTGGTGGCAGTGGTTCTTCTTGAGGAAAATAATCAGAAAGCAATGGGCAAATTCTTAAGGGGACACAGAGATGCTAATAGACATTTATCTGTGTACAACCTATTTTTTGTTAGGAACAAAACACATCATTATGTAGCCTGACGTTAATGGGACCATATGATCTTCCATTTCCTTAAACCAATCCTAACTAATAATATCCCCAAATTCTATGCAGGCTCAGATTTCCTATGGACTCCCTCTTCAATTATACAGCAATACTAGTTATATCGACTGACCCCGTGGGAGTATATGAAATAATCAGGCATTCCCTTATGCACTTCCAGGGGAAGACCAAATGAAATGAGAGCTCAGGGTTTCAAAACTGATCAGGAGATGAATCAGTAGGAAAAAAATCAACTTATGAATTACTTGTTTCCTCTTTGTACTGCTTTTCACCTTTGAAATGCAAGAACTTCACCACTCTCATGCCAGAAACAGGTTCCATAAAGGCTGTCAATTTACCCAGCAGACATTCACTGTAATTTACTACTGGGATTCTGCTACTTTTGGTCTTGTTGGCACCACAGGTTCCCATACAGTGCTAAAAAAGAATACAGGATGTAGGATGGCTTTTGAGGTAAATAAAAACAGACATCTTTTCCCCCACTTCTTTGACATAATTTATTTTTTCTTACTTAAAATTGCTGCTGGTTAGGAAAACCATCCCTTTTTCTGCTCTTGAGACTTCTAGAGTGACTAAGTTGAGATAAAGTATCCAAATATTAAATAACATTGACTGAAAGTTAGCAATGAAATAGATGCAGAAGGCCCAGCATTCAAATCTAAGAGCCTTTATCAAGAAAGTGAACTTGGAAAGGTCTCTTCGTGAAGTTTTGATTATGGGTATAAGGTCACATGTAGGCAGAAATTGTCCTTCATTCCATTTTGTTTAATAGCTTCTGAGATAATGTGATCTGCACAATGTGGTAATTCAAATATGAGCAGCTGGATATACTGTCATACATGTGTGTATGAGAGATCTGTGTCATGACACCTATAGATTCTAAACACATAGAGTTTATTTTGTGTATGGAAAACCGGACATCCACTGCTTATAACACCGAAGGACTGAGGACTGAACTCTGATCTCATTTACATAATACTGAGGAGGATCTTGCTTCCCACCTCACGTGCTCTGAAATAACACTGGTATGTCTGAGATCAGATTGGTTTGGAATGTGTAGTAATCCCTTCTACCTGTATGCAAAATGAAATTAAAGACCTTAAAATCACTGACAACGCAAGTGCTAAAGCATGGCTGCTCAGCCAGCTTCAGAAGTCCTCTAAATAGAAAGTGGCCTAATTTTCAGAGGCACTGATCCTGTGACTCCCTTAGGCTGCAGTAGGTTTATAATGCACCAATAAAAATTAACTTTTAGAAACTGAAGTATGGATTAAGAAGGCTAACCTAGGTATCTGTTTTTTTATACTTTTGGCTTGTCACTTATATAATTTGTCTGTAGGGGTATCAAGTAACCCTTCAAAGAAGAGTCAAAGGTTTCAGGCAGAAAAATCCAAGTTCATGTAGTGAATTCTCTTATTTGTACATTGTCTTTTAGGTTATCATTATTCAACCTCAAGTCCAAACCCAGACAGAAAGTAAAGTGGAGACAAAGAAACCTCCTGAAGAGTCAGCTCAGGGACCCCCTGCTACCAAAAAGAAAAAGGAGGAAAATCCAGAGGTGAATTTTGTTTTATTTTTCAATACATGAGCTACAGTATGGTTATGTTGTGGGGGCCAAATCAAAACATCCTTCTGTGTGCATACGTAAGTACTCTGTTTGTGCCTATGGTTCTGCCAGCTGTTCATCTCTCCTCCCAGTCACAGCACTTGGGGTGAATTTCCTGCCACTGAGGTGCTCTGACAAATTTGGTTTGCAGCATTCAAACCTTCCAGTGCCACAAAATGTAGGACTTGTAGGTCTCATAATGATCTAGGCACTTTCTGTGGCTGTAGCTGGGTTTCTTGTGAAAGGTGGATATAAGCTTAAGGTATTTTCTTTTATGTTATCAGTAAATAACATCAGGTTTACATGCTGTGTGAGAGGTCAAATTCACATTTCCTTTGTAAGCTGAGCTCTCACACCTTGTGTAATGAATCTTGCAATTTTTAGATCCTATTTAACAATAGTTTCTTGCATTTGCTCTCCCTACATGTACACAGATTCTAGTGTGAAATACATTAAAATCCTTCAAACTGAGTGAGAGTAGAAAGCAGGTTAATAAGATTATTAATAAGATTAAGTAAGATTGAATCTCTTTCATGCAGTTTATTTTTGATTTAAACTAAAAATCTAAGCTACAAGTCCTAGCAGAAATGGGATCTCTGTAATGTTTTGGGCTTTGACCAGATGTATTCACATTAGATTGGCTGTACTTTGGAGGCCATTTGAGAAGTTATGCAAACTAAATCTACTTCTATTGTGGAAATGCTCAGCTCATGTGAAATCTTAACCTCACTAGTCTAATAAATGTGTAGCACAAAGGCATCCTTGGAGCTGTAGGTTTAAGAGGATTATTGCGATATAAATGTATAATGTCACTTGAGGCATGTGGGTGGTCATTTGTTTTACCATTTTAAGAGGTTTGTATAGTTAAAACACTGTTAAGGATAAATATTTCAGCCCAGAATATCTCAGCTTTACGCAGAAGCTCTGCAGAACTATGCTTAGGAAATCTCCCAAGTCTAAAATCTGACCCTCATATGAATCTTCATTGCCACTGCAGAGTCTTGTTTTGTTTAGGCAGGTATTTCCAAAAGCTTATTTATTGTGTAGTACCTTGTGGGCAGAAACACCAGTAAATCTTGCTTAAAAACAGAATGCTAGGAAAAATACATCCCTTCTTCTTTGCCTGTAACTTATCCTCATGGAGAGAATATCAAGCAAGCCTTCCAGAGAGATGCAGGAAAAGACAATGGGACTGGGTACACTTCTTGGTATGAATTCATAAATTTAATGAGCTTTTCATTACATTGCTAACTAGATATCTTGACAACCTTTCCCTAACCTCAATCATTGTTCCTACCTTGTATACTGGAGGTCTCAGCAAGCTCTATTTTCTGGGTAGGATGCTGAAGCTATGCCCTTAAGTATGACAGTTCTTTTCTTTTCATAGATTTGTTTCACGGCCATAAATAGGTAGGTCTAGCGTTAATTTCTTTTGTTCTTTGAAAGTAAACTTCAGTTGATTATCATGTATTTATGCAATTAGTGTAATTAGAACTAACAGCATAATTAGTGTAAATACATGTAATGACATAAATAGAACATGTAATTACAAAATGAAATGCTTTTGTGAAAATCTTTGTTTTGCCTCATGAAAAGACATACTGTGTATTTCTACAAGCACTCATGGCTTTTAAACAGATGATTACATTTAAAGCAAAGAGTTGCAAAGATGCCATGATATTTTTATAAAGAAAATAAGCACTCTAGGCACTTCTCTCCACACTTGTATTTATCTTCAAAGCACAAAACTGAGGCAGGAAGTCCAGTATGACTCTGCGTAGACGTTAGTCCTGACAGACTTGGATTTGACAGATTTAGCACCACCCAAGGTGTACCAGGAGCAGGGATCAGAGCCCTCACCTGGGATATGAGCTGTGAGGGTTCATTCCCCCCAGGACTGAGGAGGGTCTGAAGGAACTCACCAGCCACACCTTGCCATCAGCAGTGGGGCTCAGCTGGGGCTGGAGGCCAAGAGTGATGGGTCCAGTGAGGGTCTTCTCCCACCAGAATGGCTACTGTAAACAAATGAAAGAATTTCAAAAAGGAACTGCTTCACTGGGGAGAAAATGCCTGAGGGTCTGGGGTTTTTTGGGGATTTGTTTGTTGTTTTTTTTTAGAGGGACCTGTGTTCAGCACAGAAAGAAATATAATTCTCCCTAAACCTTGTTCAGAATTTTATATCAGTAAATTTTTATATTTCTGGCAACATTTTCATTCTAGAAAGCTTTTATTTAGAAGAAAAATTGCTTGACATAAATGCTGGCCATTTAGCTACCACTGTTTCTGAGCCCACCTAAGAAATACAAGAGACACATGGCAATTGTGCATAAAATTCTGATGTCAGGCCTGGATTGAAACTCTAGAGAAACTGAAGCCTTGGTTTTGCAGCTTCCTGCACAGAGGAGAAGCAACAGACCCTGTGATATTGAGAGGGAAGCATTGCAGTGGAAGTCGTATTTTGAGTTGAATCCAACGAGCCACAGGAGTGTGAAATAGCAAAACCCATAAAACCAAATACACCTTCCATTTAAATACTTGTTAAAAAGAATACAGCTTCTACTGGGATTTTTTACAAGGAACCACTTTTCAAATCCCTATAAAAGCTAACCCTTCCTGTGTTTAATTGTAAGATAATTATCCAGTCCAGTTATGAAGGCTCTTTGTGTGTTAAACAAGTATGCTGTCATTGCTTTTAATTAGATATGTATTCAAATAATTTTAGCATGAAGAGAGGAAATTGTTTAGCAAACATTCCAGCACTCAGATAATTCCAGTTGAGGCATCAGAAAACGTGTGCTTTCCCTGCAGTTGAATCTTGGGGCAATACAGGCATTCTGTGCTCCCTTGGGAAAACACAGTTGCACATTCACCATTCCAACTTCCTGGTTCTATACCTAAATGTTGTTATTACTTCTGTTCAGAGCGCTGAGATGTATCCTGCCACGGTTGCTTTGTGATGGGGGTGAGGTGAAGCTTGTAATTCTACTCAGTTGACTAATTTTCTTCTCAGATCTGCACAGTGGATCTCGGATCAAATATTCATCATTCCCTTCAGGTGTGGGGCCCCCACTGTGCCTAGCTGGTGTTTTAGACATGTGAGGAGTGAACGTTATTGAAATCAAGGTCTGACATGCAAATGAACACATGCACTTGTCATTACCACAGTTATAGAAGGCAGAAATACAATGTGAATATATCTAAATTGCCAGTGATGAAATTCTGCATCACCATTTTTTAATCTACAGCAAGAGTTACATGCTAGGAGATTGTGGAAAGAAAATATTCCTGTCTTATGAGGGTGTTAGTTCACCTGTTTGACAGATAAATTTTCACAGATACAAAAAGGGTGTCGATGCCCAATCCTGACCCTCAGATTTTGAAGAACCCACCCAACAGTTAGATCTTTTAATCTGCAAAATGAGGACGTGCTTGCTTTCACAATTTCACCATGTGAAAGTCAGAATTGCAAAGGAAATTGTAGTTCTGGGTGAGTTACTAGTTGATTTTATCCTGAACTGAAATGAAAAGTTGAGTCATCAGGCTTTTCACAAAACAAGAAGGTCAAACTAATTTTGACTTGGAAGTGTTGAAATGTGTTCTTTTGACATTTCTTTGATTGAAACAGAATGTTTTGACCTTCTACTGCTTAAACACTGTGGTTCAGTTTGACCTAAATCTACACATTTTATTTTGGGTGAGTATGATAATTGCATCTTCCTATGGTCTTTGTACACTTCATCAGAGTTGGATTGTGGGCTTTGCTTGCTTGGATTTCCTGATAGCTTAGGTTTCAAAGTCAGATTGTCTCTCCTGTGAAATTGCACCTCATGAAAATGCCACTTGGGTAATATGATCCAACAATATTGTTCAGCACAGCAGAAAGAGGAAAAGACCTTTGAGGCCCCACAAGTACCCCAGATGTGACTGAAAAACAAGGAGTTCAGTTCTGTTTGGGCTTGGAACAACATAGCAGAATTTCAGTTTTCATCAGAAGATGGAATAAAAGCTTCAGCAAAACTTTTTTCTGCATGGCAAAATTTCCCAATGAGAAATCACTGGCAGAAAATTTAGAAGCTGCTCTAGGACTTGTCCTGTTACTGCATTGGCATGTTTGAAGATTTTTTAGTATGAAGATGTGTTTTGTGCATATATAGTTTACAAGAGTTGTGAGTAATATTTTAGATCAGATTCCTTGCTGCGAAATGAGTTCAGCAGTGTCAGTGGAAGATGTTTGTTCACTCCCAATGAGGGAAGACAGTGGGTCTGTGTACCTCTTCATAATTCATAAGTCCTGTTACTGCATTGGCATGTTTGAAGATTTTTTAGTATGAAGATGTGTTTTGTGCATATATAGTTTACAAGAGTTGTGAGTAATATTTTAGATCAGATTCCTTGCTGCGAAATGAGTTCAGCAGTGTCAGTGGAAGATGTTTGTTCACTCCCAATGAGGGAAGACAGTGGGTCTGTGTACCTCTTCATAATTCATAAACATGGTGTTGGGTCTGTGTACCTCTTCATAATTCATGCACATGGTGTTCCTTTTGTAACTTGGGAAGAGAAATTTCTGAAACTTTTTTTGAGGGGAGGGGACTTTCAATATGCTTCAGGTGTCTTGTTTAGTGTTGTAAAGTTCAGTGGAAGTTTATTATATCTTGTTTTACTTTATGCAGCTTGCTCACATCCAATAAAAGCAGTGCCATAACCAGATAGTAATAACAATACACAATTACTTCTCTAAAGAGTGGAGTAACAAACCAGTTAGCAATATGAAATTTAATTGATTGAATTGACTGAATTTTGGTCATGTGCTGTATAAAACCAGGAGTCATATAGCATTGGCATCAGAAGTCTCTGAACTGAGAAAGTCTATATAGTCATATAAGTGACTGACCAGGCGTATCTGAAACAAATCTTCAATTAAAGTTCTTCGTATTACTATGCAATCAAATAAGACACATGGGTTTATGCTGTCAATGCTAGTTTTATTTATTTACTTGCCATGATTATTGTCATAGAAAATCTAACTCCTGTTTATTTTTTCCTTAGAAAATTGCCTTCATGGTAGCATTAGGACTGGTTACAACAGAACATTTGGAAGGTAAGATGGCATATGTTGTTTTACAGTTCATTTTTTGAGTGAAATACTTTCTCTTGGCTGCAGAGCAGTCAAGAAGAATTGGTGATTATTACAGAATCACAGAATGGATCAGGTTGGAAGGGATCCCTGTAGGTCATCTAGTCCAATCCCCCTGCTCAAGCAGGGTCCTGCAGAGGATTGTGTCCAGATGACTTGAGTATCTCCAGAGAAAGAGACTCCATATCCTCTCTGGATAATCTGTTCCAGTGCTCTCTTACCCTCCCAGTAAAGAAGTCCTTCTTGTATTCATGTGGATCTTCCTGTTCCTTTTGCCTCTTGTCCTGTTGCTCAGCACCACCGAGCAGAGCTTGATCCATCCTCTGACACCCTCCCTTCAGACTTTTATATACATTGACAAGATAAAGAGTGACCTTACTTTGCTCTGACTCCCATCCCATGGCACAGCTCAAGGGGCATGAGGACTGGCTCAGCAGCCAGCATCAGCATGCTTGGCATAAGCTGGCTCACTCAGTCACCGTGGCCCTTGGAAGGGTCTTAACAACTGGAGGATAATAGTGAAGTAAAAAGCCTGCAAAAGCTCTGCCTAGCACTGAGCTGGTTGATGAATCTGTGAGGTTCAAAGGCTGCAGCAAGCATGCCCTCTGGTCTCTCCCATGTGAGATGGACTTTCAGGTTTTGGGTTAATTGTCCATCATCTCTGGAGTTCCACAGAATAACACCCAACCTTCTAAAAATACCTGATAAGACTTAGAGTATTTGTACCTTTCTTTGCCTCAGCCTGTTTGTTCTGAAAGTAGAGATGAGAGGGAGAAAAAAGTGTTTGTTCAAATTTGCCAGTGGTGTGAGATGAGTTGGAGGATTCTTGGCAGAATGGGTTAGTTCTCATGGACTGAGACGATACAACTATTTTTAAGGAAAAGTATACAGCCTGATGTGTTTTAGCTACATGCTCAGCTAAGACAGGTTGGTCTGGTCCCACTGGTATAAGGAGACAAAGCTGGCATCTGTGTCAACTGAAAAGGGTTCTTGATCACCAAAAATGTTAATGCTAATTGTCACTGACGATAATCCCTTGGACCATAGTCAGCAGAATACTTAGGACACTGAGTTTAAGTTCTATGTGCTTTGGAGTTAGGCATATGCTTAGATACCTTGCTGACTCAAGGGATATCTACCATTTTGCAGCTTGATTTCTTTTTATTAAGATTCTCTATTCCTTTGTGTTAAGACAGGCTGTGAGTTAGGGAGAAAATAGCATCTGAATTGTGAGGTCTCCTCAATATGTGCAGCAGGTTTTCTGTGGCTCTTGTTGATGTTTTTCAGTCTTTCCTCTGTAAATCTGCATTTTAGAAAATCATTTAATGTCCCAGTGACTGAGAATTTGAAAGCAGTTTAAAGAAACTTTAAGCCATTGGCATTTTTAATCCCTTAATGGTAATGGATTGAAATGGAAATCAAAAAGCTACAGCAATTTTTGGAGAAGATTTGTAATCCAAAAAGTGCAAAAGATGACTGGTTCATGTTTTCTTTGTCTAAGGAAAATAGGACAACATTTGAAATTATGCTGAAGTGCAAATTATGCTTACAACAGAGGACTTCATTTTGAATAATTCTTTACCCTTTGATTTTATTGGAACTAATAAATTGTTTGTGTGAATTTAATGCTTATGTTCACAATGCCAAGTACTGCTCTGCTGTGCTTGTTCTACACTAAGTGTGGAGATGCACATTTTGAACCAAACTGCTACAACACTCGTCCCACAGAATCAATTCTTTCAGACAAATTCACTTTTTATATTCCTACTAGCATTAAATAAAAGGCTCCAACCAAGACCTATTTGCTATGGAAAGGGTATTTCTTCATGAGTATTGGTGATTACAACTGTCACAAATGCCCTTATAGCTTTCACATGCTAAAGGTGATTATTTTAGTGCTATGTCATATTTACAGTTACCATCCATTGCTATTTATCAGGAGCCAGTGGTCATTACCCAGTTCAGTTTATTTTAATACTTCTAATGTATTTCTCAATTTCACATTTTTGGAATTAAACTCTATCAAGATTAGGTCATTAAAAGCTTATTCATTCAGTATCATTAATTCACAGTGTTACTGCTTTTCTTCATTTTATTCATTCATTTTGTGGCTGTGATCCACTTCTGTATGGCTTTCTCTGTCCACCAAGAAGCCTTCCCACCTAACCTCCAGAGGAACATTTCTAGACTGGGAAAAGAGCTCTATTCTGCAGAGCCTGAATGTGAGGCATCTTTTGAGGCCTTTACCAGTAAACAGCTGTTTCTGCAGACTGACAGTCTGCAAGGTGCAGCTTTCCCTGAAGCTAAATCATCATTACAGGCCTCACAGAGTGACCATACAGAGTGTTTATTGATGAAGGTAGCAGCTATTTGAAGTTTGACCTCCAACATAAAGCTATCTTCAAATTTACTCATCTTTTTCAAATGTATTACAGTTTTATTTGTTCTGTTTGGGTTCTATTTTTTCAATGCATAAACTAAGGAGTGAGGTAGCTCAATTCTGTCGTGCAGTGCATGGTTTTAACATACTGAATCTCTTTCTCTAGGCTATTAGAACACCTTTTAGCAAAACTTTAAAAGAATGGCCTTTAGTTCAGGTCATTCAAAATATGCACATCATCTTGGTTTACCATAGCAAAATAAAAATCCTGAAATATTTCCATCTAGGTTAATGGAATGTTTATGATTTAACCAGTTAAAACAACTTTAATTTTACTTTATTAAGTCCTGCTTTGAAAGGTACACAATACTTCTAGGAGAAGTAACAAGTGACAGGGGATAGCACAGCAGCGTATGCTTTTGTTCTCTCTGGGTGTGATTATTGACAGAACCACTCTCAGATGTACATAGGTGCATGGATATTTTTGGTTCAGTTTCCACAAATACAGTGCTGACATGCTCTCCCTCCCTGATGGCTGCACAGGGTGGTGTACATCTCGAGCTGTCTCAGTTCATTACTCTCTCTCTCTCTCTTTATTTCCACCTATTCCCACTGCTATTACTTTCCCCCCCAGCCAGCTTTTATCTCTGTACCATAGCAATGCCTCTTCCAAAGCTCCAGGTATCTACCACACATGTGATTCAGACTCCATCAGATTTCTGTTGCCTTGGTGAGAGCATGTACTAAAGACATTCTCTCTTTAACTTGGGACTGAAAAGGGCAGAGAGCTGCAGATCCATCACAGTCCTTTTGTGGCCCAGTTATGCACATAGAAAGTTCTGCCGTGTTGAATTCTTTGCTTCTTTTTCTGAGCCAGTGAAAAGTCACAATCTCATACCCCTGTGGCCACTTCTGGAAGACTAAGTCTGGGCTGCCCTAACTCCAGCTTTTTCCTTACGCTGCCATGATGGGACCGAGATGCTGCAAGCCCTGAATTCACTGACCACGTACCATGAGTTATGGAGCTTGGCTGCAAGAGCTGTGTCTGCAGCTCACACTGCTGAGACCAGGAGAGTCATCAGAAGGCCACTTCCTCCACTTTTTGCTAGCACCAGGGCAGATGGTTCCTCTGTTGTGACATCTCTGCTACCTTTGGGCCTTGAGAGTGTTCCCCTTACAAGAACTGACACTGACATGAAGAACAACTATCTCTCTTCTGGTGGCCCTGACAGGCTACTGGATCTGTGTCTGACTCTTGCCCTACTGCTGCTGAGCCCTGGTTCCCTTTAGAGGCTGTCAGAGAATCTAAAGCTTCAGGATGGAGATTTCAGCATAGCCAGATGAGCATTTCATAGGACATACTTTTGCAGTGGGACAGAACTGTCACCCAGACAAGATTCTCCGTTTTGGAGACTGCATAACACCAAAGATGTTAACAAGATGCTGGCAGTGGTTGTAGCCATGGTATTAATCTCACATCTCGGTGCAGCTCCGATCGTACGTATCTTGGTAGTGAGATTCTGTATAGCTCCCCGAGTCACATGGCAGCGTGTGTCTAGCTCATGTCAGACTGTGAATACAGACCTGCCTGTGCTTTTGAACTGCTCTAGGAGATCTTCACCTTCTGAACGTGAGAGGTGACATTGTTCCTGTGCCAGTGGGAAAACCCAGCCCAAATGCAAGTAGTTGCTGTGCTCTTTTTCATGTCTATCTAGTTTCCTTCTGATGCATCCATCACTCCAAGAGTGATGAATTAGCCAATAGTCTTTTGTAAATGAAAAGTTTTAAATCAGTATCTCAGAACTCAGCCCAGTACAAAATCCATGCAGAGTGTTGGCCTTGTCTCTAGGGGCACTGTGTCCAAGACATGACTGGTGATGCTGATACCCTTTACTGTAGTATGTGGGAAGTGATCAGCATTTGGAAAGAGCACCTAGAAACCAGAACTGTGTGTTGGGAATCCATTTCCTATGTATCATAAACACCCTGAAAGCTGGTCTGTATATTACTGTTGGATTGCAGGTGGGAGATTGTGCTTAATATCCTGAAGGCCATTTTCTGGTGCTTAGGATGTTCTGAGATAGTCCTCTTTAGCTCAGACACTGAGGAAAGTTGCCAGACCTTCTGCAAAATCAGATGGTGTCCTGACTTTCTGTTGGGTGTGCTCCTGGGCCTTTGGGCTGAAGAGCTAATGCTCCTGCCAGTTCTTCTCATTCCAGGGTTTACTTAGAGCAAGACAGAATGGAGGTATCACAATCATGGGGGCGTTTAGACTAACAAGATACGTCTGGCACCTCTGTGCAGAGTCTAAACTTTGCCTTACAATATTCAAATAGGAAACATTTTGGAATAGAGCTTCAGCATTCATGTCATGTCATGGGATGGGTGCTGGGTGGCTCTCCTTGCTAAAGTATGTGTGCTCTTCATTGTCAAAATAATAGGCTCTAAAAGACATGTGTGTAATTATTTCTGAACTGACATAAGAGCTGGAAAAAGAAATTCCATACGATGTAAATGGAATCCTATCTCAGCTAATGGTAGCATTAAACCTGCAGATTTCTGCGGTCAAGTATGCTGTTCCCTCTTTCTGTGTATGTTTGCAGAGGTATGCACATGGCTAATGATTGCTAAACACAGTCCTCAGCTCCTGCCATTTAGAATAGGTGTTACCACCTAGTGGAAGGGAGTTCTCTTGTGTTCCACCATCCTCTGATCAGGGCTGCTGTCCCAAAAGTCTGGCTTTGCACTGCTGTTTCCAGTGACACATATACTTGTACAGCTCATAACAACATTTTGCATGCTCAGGATTATGAAGTTGTATGGTTTTGGATGGATAAATCATCATGCCCTAGTTAGAACTGAATCTAGCCACGTGATTCTGACCATGCTTTTTCTAACCTCCACAGAAGAAAAGTAATGTAAATTGAATGTAAAAGGATCTCTGTGCTTTCATAGGATATGAATTACAAGGCTTAATTGCTTTAAATGCTTCCTTTTTGTTAATAGCAGACATTGAGAGTACTTTGAAAGCTCTCTGATGATGCTTGCTGAATATATGTCTGAAAGGATCATAAGAAAAATCTTGTAGGGCAGCAGAAGTCCACCTTGAAGGAAGGAAAAAATAAAAAAATGCCTGTGTTCTCAATCTCACAAGGAAACGCTTCTTAATGTCAAACCTTGAACTGCAGCAAATATCATTGCTGATGCAACCCAATTATACTTTAGAAACTGAAACTGAACACAAAGCCCAAGGGGTTGAGGGTAAGAGCATCTTGCTTAACAAGTTAGATCTACATTTTTCCCTGATGAATGAGAAATACACAATTCATGTTTCTTTCCATGGTTACAGAAATCCAGAGCAAGCGTCAGGAAAGAAAGAGAAGAAGCACAGCAAATCCAGCCTACAGTGGACTCTTGGAAACAGAGGTACTTTATCATTCACTTTTTTTTACCACAGTTCTATTTCATGTCAATAAAAGGTTTAAGTGCTTCTTATTACAAAAATATATATGAATGCAGAACCACACAGTTACTTGTAAAGAGATATTGATGTGGAACAGAAAGAAAATATCTCATCTCAGTAGCTAAGCAACAGGTTTTCACACCACAATATCACTTGCTTCAAACTAGAATTCATCTTACTTTTAATAAAGGCCAAAAGGACTAAATTAATGTGGGACCTAATTACTCTTTCACCCATGCAGGCAGTCCCTTTGGGTCATAACCGAAGAGCAGAAGTGCTGCATTATGTTCAAACTTGCATTGCTATTTCTCTTTTCCTGTGTGCCAAATAATAAATGGAGAACTTTGCTTTTTTTATTAGTGACATTCATAAAAGGGATGTGTTGGTTTAAGAATCAGTGTGCTCTGCAGGGGGTGTAGAAGCCTGCATAATAAATATAATAATGCATAATTAAAAATGAAATGCTCCGGATAATCTCTGTTGTCTGTTACACTTCTGCTGTTGCATTTATAGTAGTATCAGAATTCGGTCCTGCTTAGTATTGGATTGCAAACCTGGTGTAAAAGCAGCATATAAATAGGCTTAACTTTTTCTGAAATAGTTTTTTCCTTTGTTTCTGAACTGACATATATGCATTTATTCAGCTAATTAAACTTTCACCTTTAAAATTTTAGCAGAGTTTGGAGGTACTGTTTGAATTTCCTACTGGAATGAAACTCAGTTGCAGCCACCTCTCCATTTAAGCAAGATTTCTCTGTGTTCTGAGTTCTTTAAGCCTAAATAAAGTGGTTTTTCTTTATTTAGGTACAAGTAATGCAGAGTTTTTGGTATGCCAGCATTTCAGATTTCTGTCTTTCTTGGCAGACAGATGAGGCTAAGAAGAAATCCACTGGTGTAGTCAAGCTGCTTAGTCACCTCATTGTTCTCTTTTTTTGAAAGTATTGGAGATTTTTATACTCAAGAGCAGCTCCTTCAGAACTCCTCAACTATTCTCTTCAATGCAAATACTGGTGCTCATACATCCACACACAGTAGGAACTTTAGCCTTGCTAGCATTAAATTTGTAGTGTCTTAGACCTTTTTGTCTTGATTAGTTTATTAAAATACTTGCAGCAGAGTTTTGTGGCTGTAGCCTGATCGGTGTTTGTGAGAAACTCAATTATCTTGGAGCAGAGATGGAAGAGAAGATGAAGTAGGTCTGCTGCACCCCTAGTTCATACTTCTCATTATGTCTATTCTCAAAAGCATATCCTGAAGTGAAAGATGGCACGGAGAAAGAAATGTCTGCGAAGGAGTCCTGTGGCTGATCAGCTGTGTCCTCATTAGGAGCTGTCATTAAGTACTGACCATGGGGAATGCTGCTCAAGTAAAATGGAGGCAGATGGTTTTTCTCTGATCAATTAGCTGCTCAGATTGATTTGCTAATCAGCGAGTTGAGGTATTTGTGGCATTTCAGGCATTTTGGTGCAGTTTAATTTAGTCTACTGAATGATCTTTAATTCATGATTGTTTAAATTGAAATTGCATATAAATTAGACTTTTTATTTGCCAACGCCCCTCCAAACGGCAGGAGCTCAGCATCTGTAGTGGTGATGCTAACTTCCTTGATTACAAAAATGTGTTCACAGTCTTATGTCTTCACTTGAATGTTGTGCTCTTTCTTTTCAAAGCTTTGTTCTTAAAAAACGAGAGATACCATTCTATTTTCCCACCCTCAGTAGCCTTTTTTTCCTAGGAAAGGGTTAAGTTTCAGGCTGGTTATTTTTTGAAGAAAGAAACATCTATTCAAAATTCATTAACAGACTGGCAGGCACCCGTGTATAAGAGAAGAGTTTACCCACCGCAGAATAAATCATTTATTAGCAAAACCCCTCTAATTTTCCTCCAAGCAGAATCTAACAACATCTAATGGAGGGAAATGGTGCTTTTTCCAGTGCTGCTGTATGTATTGGATGTTGTAAGTGTTGGATGGCTCAGAGAAACAATTAGGGGTTGTATAGGCTGTTAATGAAGCCTGGCTTGCTGTTGACCAACAGCTCGTGCCATCTGACAAGCTGGTGATGGGCTGCATTAGATGAGTTAAACAGCTCAGTCAGGGTCCCCGTGGTCTCTGTTTGTAAGACTGGTGACCTCAGCAGACTGAAATCACTGCCAGCTCCTAGAGGTCATGCACATTCACTTCTGAAAGGGAAATATTTTGCTTAGGCCCTCATACATTTCTTGCAAACACTAACTGTAGACAGGTGTCACAAAGGTAGTAATGTTCTTCCTGCTGGTGGGAAGTCCATCACCATTTCTATACATAAAAATAAAGATGTCAGCTCATAGCAACAATTTATCAGGCAGTTTTTCCCTTATGGACATTGTTATCTGCTAGGCTTGGAGTTTCTTTTGCTGTTGCCCTGCTCTTACCAACCTGTGCAATTTATCCTGCAACCCCATGATTAGTTTTTATTTCTCACTTCTTAATAAAATCTGATGCACATCCAACTGCTCTATGAAGAACTTGTTAGAAAGTCATAAAACTGTTTGTGTGACTGTCTCAGGGGTCAGTCTAAGTGGCTTTTGGAGAGCTGGTAAACATGGAGATTGTGTACTATGAAATGTAAGAGACAACCAGAGCACTTTGCAATGACACTGTGGTTGTTTTTTTCCTCTTGTAGCGGAAACGCCTCGCATCAAATTATTTGAATAACCCCTTGTTCCTTTCCACAAGAGGTAAGCATATTTTTAAATTAATATATCTAATGACATGTTAAATATTTATTAGTAGGATTTTGTATGAGTTACTGCTAGGATACCATAGGGCATTGCTTTGTGTAAGGTCCCTGCACTTTTTAGTGTGGAGAGAAAATAGATGGTTTTCCTGCAAAAGCAGTGTAAGGACAAGGCTAAAGGTCACAATTCTGTAGAAATGGGTCCAAAGTCTCTGCAATCAGTGGCAAATCTGATCTCTGGTATTGAAAGCACCATACAGTGAGAGAACTGATTGAAGAAGGCAGTTTTGCCAACCCCAGAAATACATATTGAAAAATTGGGATTTTAAAAATAATTACTATTTTGGGCTCATCATTTGCCTCTTTTCACCAGCTTTAAGAAACTACTGTCCATCTTCAAGGGCTAGAAACTTCCCATACATTTTGCTTTAAAAACAAGGGCAGAAAACCATACAGTTTTTCTGATTCCAAGAACTGGAGCCATAAGTCTAGATTGGATGACCTTGAAGATGCCTCCCAATCTTGCATTTATAAGAACTTCAGATGCTGACAGTTTCATAGTAAAAGCCTTGAGAACAAACAACGCAGAGGAGTCATTTGGGGATGCTGATGATTAGCTCGTGGGAAGAAGCCCATTCCAGGAAAAACGTGCAACATAGAGAAGGCAAAGATTTGGGAGGTGCGAGATGAAACACAGAGAACATTAAGTACAAGTGCAGTTTAATTCTTCAGGCATGGCCCATGTAGTATTTTAAGGAAGAAAGCAAGGAGCTTGAGTTGCATTTCAGAAGAGAGAAAGCCAGTAAAGAAATGTGATTCTGTCCTTACCCCCATTTTGCCTTTATAACTTACTCTCAACCAGGGTGCCTTAGAGGTAAGGGAAGACAGACCTTTTACTGAGCAAAATATTATTTCAGTGTTAGGAGCATTTACAGGGATAACTGTAATGAAGACATGAAGTTTAGACAGTTTTTCAGTGTTTGCTTGATATCCCTGTCAAGTGTCACGTTTAGCACTCAAGAGTCACCTTTTTGCCCTTGCCTTGAATTCCTGCACTGCAGGAGCACAGACTGAAATGCAGCAGTGCCTCCCTCTACCTTCAAAACTTCCCGTGCCAGATGCAGACAGTTGGCCTACTTACCATATGCCTCTAATGCGTCGGGTCTCAGAGGACAAGAGAGGTTATTACACAGTAAACAGCTATGATGACATGCCTCTTAGCAGGAGCCCAGGCTCGTGTCAGCCCCAGTGGAAAGAATATTATTCCTGGCTTAGTTTTATCTTCAAAATTAAAATTGTAACTTATTATTTGTCTTAATCATAGCACTTGTTTTTTCCCATGTAAACACGTGAAAAAACAGGAGAATGGCAATGTGAGCAAGCTGTGCTGCTAAGCCCCTGGGTGGGTTACATTTAAGTTAGGGTTTGCTACCTCTGATGACCTTTCTGCCACGTGTTTCCTATTTTATTTGCAAGGAAGTAGGCAAGTGACAGAGCTCCAGTGGTGCAGCTGCCTCAGAGCCACCTGGAAATCAGCACTCTCTCATTAACAGCTACTTCCTCCTTGAGTCCTGTATTTTTGGGTTTTCCAGAATCCAGAATCTGTGCTGGGATTCTGCATATTTTGAGAATTTTAAGCTGGATTTCTTTATAACAGACTTCCTACCTCTGCAGGACTTCGTCAGCTACGTGCACCATGCACTGTTGTGCTGGCAGCTGTTTAAGCTCAAAACTGGAGACAGATGCTGTCCCAGACAGCTTGGCACTGCAGTGATGTAGTTCACCTTCAGTGCAGAGATGACTGCTCCTTCTCTTATAAAGTGCTGCTTTAAAAATATAGTCTTCAGTTTAATTTGTCAGAAACTAGAAGGTGGAAATGGACATATTTTTAAAAGTTTAAAACTTTGTAGTAAAAGTGAGATGAAAAGACAAATAAACAAACTAAAAAAAACATCCCCATGGTGTCCAGGAAACAACTGTCATTTCTGGAAATGCAGAAGAGAACAATTCTTGTAAATTTTGATCAAAATGTCAATTAATCAGGATTCATTTATCTGAAAATGTCTTACCTGAAATGAGGTCACGTCCCCTGACATGTATCATTTGTAGGAAAGATTCTTCAATTATCAAACCTCTGTTTATCTGAATAACATTTATATCCCCTGAGTAATCGTTGGTGTCATATCATGGTTGATCTCTCTGTGTGTATTTGTGGATGTGAAGTGACATCTACAGATTTTATAAGACTGTGGTTATTTATAGAACTCATTGCCAAAGTATGCTACAATTCTTGGAAAAAGTAAAGAAATTTATGGGAGAAAAAAATAATCTACCAAAGGCTGTCAAATATAAAAATGAAGATGCAAGCTCCTGGTTAGGGAAGCCCATAAACTGCCAGGGTCTGGAAGGTGTAGAAAGATTTACTCTGTGCTTGCCCTGTTCTTGCACTCTGTGTATCAGTGGATGCACTGGAGGCTGTTAGCAAAGGACACAGGGCTATACAGCCCTTGATTTAACTTAGGTGAAGCTGTTTCTTCATTCTTATGTTCCTCTTCTTACCCATGTGTGTGAGTTCTGACTGTGTCTGTCTTGATGTGTGTGCACACATCAGTGTATAAAACCAACATGTAACAGCAGGAAGAGACTCCCAGGTTGGTGTGTGTATGACGGATCACACTGGGGCAGGTATATTCCCACTAGGATCAGAGAGAGAGCTGAAGAAGGACAGAAATATCAGTTTGGTTGTCTCCACCTTAATCCAAAGAAAGGTCTCTCCAGCAAGTGTTTGTCACTGGGACAGTGTGCAAGACAACCTCTTGCAAGGACCCAAGGGAATGGCACAAAGCTGTGTCAGGAGAGGTGTAGGTTGGATATTAGGAAAAGCTTTTCCACCCAGAGGGTGTTTGGGCACTGGAACAGCTCCCTGGGGAGGTGGTCACAGCCCCAAACCTGCCAGAGCTCAAGAAGTGTTTGGACAATGCTCTCAGGCACATGGTGTGATTCTTGGGGCTGTGCTATCGAGGATTTGGATGAGATGATCCTTGTGGGTCCCTTCCAAATCAGGATGTTCTATGATTCTATGAAATTAGCAGCAAAAATTGCAGCCCACTGTGCAGTTTCCATAAAGCTGTTAACATTTTCTGGCTTTTTATTTTTGGACTAAAGTGTGATGAATTCCACAAATATTTTTTTTATGAAAGGCTTGGCCTGCTTTCCAGTGAGCTCTGATGGTTCTTGTTCTTATGAGGCTGTGAATGCAATCACTAGAGACTCGGTTCATCAAAAGGTCACTGGCATTTTGGGTGGGAGTAGTTTGATGAGAGAGCTGATGATACCATCAGCCTCACTCCCACAAGTGACCATTTTGGCCGTGAATCAGCTGAACATTTAACCACGTGTCTAACGGTAAGTCAGTCACCCATTTCATACTCCATGTTAAGTGCCTTCCTGGTTTGGGGCCAGACTGTTCATCACCTGGCAGGCTCGAGTCCCTCAGAAAGACTTTTTGACTGCTGGCATGTGGAGAGGAGCTCTGCAGGAAAGTTTCTGCAAAATTGAAATAGAATGTGCTCCTCACACTGTGACCTTTTTAGCATCAGACCTTTGGACACGGGATCCCTGCAATGCACACGTTTTTATCTCAAATGCTGATTCCACTTTCCTGACCGTGTTCATTTCATCAACGTCCTGATCTCCTGTGTCACAGCTTGACTAAAATTACTCCTGTAGCTGAGAACTAGCAGTCAGTGCAGCAATGTATTTTCCACTAATCTGTTCTCTGCCCTTCTTTTGTATGCTAGCAAATGAGGATCCATTCTGGAAGGTATGTGTAGCAAGGTTTGTGTATAGTGTCTCTCTCATCACTGTGTAACTCAGTGCTTCCTTCTGATTATTGTAGTCTGTATCAAGGTATCAAATTGCAGTATTCTCTTTTCCCACTTAACTAAATCTTTGAGCCCCTAAGCTAGAATTTCAAAGAGTTGAACTCTTGAGCTTTCATATGCAAGGCTTGAGTTTAATCCCTTTGTAGAATCCATTGATTGAGAAATTGCTAGTCCAGATTTGTGGGTTTAATGAAAATTTTAAGAAAAATGAATAACTATTCTAGTTTGTAAAGATTAAATCTCTTTACATTGAGGTTAAAATTAACACTTTTTGAGCAGGTAGTTTCTAAAGAGTACTATTTTGGAGAGTGATTTTTTGGCAGAACTGAGTTAGAATTCAAGATATAAACCTGACTGAAAGTACCAGGAAACATTATAATTAATATTCCTAAAAATGAAAATATGCTTTTGGAATTAACAAATATATAAAATTATTATTCTCCTTCCTGGAAAACCAGTAGGAAATTTTAGGGGTTTTATAATGATTCACAAGCCATGAGAGTTTAAAAATCAGAATCTCCTTTATTAAAATGCACTTAATTATACAAAGAGTAATTAACGTTGCCACCAGATTAGCATAGCAATTTACTACATGACATTGTAACTTTGTTGATGAGTCTTAGTTCATTTTATGTATTGCTTCAGACAAATCACTAATCAGTCTTGTTGGAGAAAGGTTGTCAGAGCAAGTGTGAGCAGAGAACAATTAGTGCCAGGCAGAACAGAGGAGCTCCAAGAGAGGGTCCATAGCCCAAGGCTGTGCTCCAGTGGACTGTTTCCCTAGCTGCTCTTTGAGGAAATGGGCCTGAAACATGGAACTGTGCTTTTCCCCCAGAACTCTTTTCTTGCTTCCTTCCTTCTGCTTTGGAGTTGAAGGGCAAGTGATCCCCACGTTAACTCTGACCCATGCTTCAGAACAGAGCTGTGTGTGGTGATACATGTGCTGGAGTGACACATTATCAACAAAAAGTGAAAAAATTCCTCTGCTACAAGCTGGCTATTTTAGTTGACTCCCTCCTGTGTTTGATTAGTTGGGGTTTATGTTTCTGTTTCAATTTATAGAACTTGCTTCTGGCTCTTTTGTTTGTTTGTTTGTATTTGTTGCTATCATACACAATTGTTTCTGTCTTCTGCAGCAGCAGCCAGGGTGCCTCTGACAATTAGATTTTGTGTTTGAAGGAGTCTGTCTGCTGCAGTAGAGGCTTTGAATGCTGTATAGAGAAGAGTTCTCAATGGATTGAGTTTATCCAAGCCATCCTTCTTCTCTTACAGAATGAGATCCACCACGATGAACACTGCACTGCTTGCAAGCGTGGAGTTAACTTGCAGCCCTGTGGCACATGTCCCAGAGCATATCACCTCAACTGCTTGGACCCACCCCTCAAAACTGCCCCTAAGGGGGTCTGGGTCTGCCCAAAGTGCCAACAGAAGGTAAGCTACATGGAGCATGGCACGCCAGGAATGGAAAATGGGAGGCACTTGGAATTTGTGTACCACTAAACTATTCTAACCTATGGTTGCAGCTGGGACTACATTAGCTAAAGAAGTACTGAGAAGCTTTTAGAGCAGTTTGCAGCATTTGTTTCTGGTATTTTCACCATCCTAGAATGTACACAGAGTGCCTTAGCTTGCCTGTAATTGCATCTGCTAAGAATTATCCTTTTAAAATGTCTCTCCAATTCCTTTGGCTCCCTTCTTTACAATAAAGCCACCAGCATGCAGTGTTGCCAGACAAGGAATATAAACCTTAGAGATGAGGGAGGCAGTATCAGAAGGACACACTGTTCACCAGTGGATCTGAGAGCTGTGAGAAAAACACTTCCTTTTCTTTAAATCATGTTTCTTTCAAGCAACTGTTGGTCATAGTCATGTCAGAAATGTAATTTGTCTAGTTGCTGTGAATAATGCTGATTGCATGAACAAGAAAACAATTACTGAAACACTAAAGTGTAGAGTGGGGGCATAGATTCTGTGCCTTAGAGTTCTTTGTGTTCAGCTTTGAGATCACTGGTATGTTCTGAGACAAGGACCTGATCTGGTCCTGCAGAGCTGTAAGGCTGGAGCAAACATTAATGTGTGTCTTTGTGGAGTCCTAACTTTTTACTGTTTCCTGTGCTTATAGGTGTTAAAGAAAGATGACAATGTGCCATGGACTGGAACTCTGGCTATTGTTCACTCCTATGTTACTCATAAAACAGGTAGGGATTAACACAGCTGTTGACAAGGGTTTTGCTGCTCGTGGTGGGCGATGCCATTTGAGTCCTTAGCAGTAATGTTAAAGTAGTGTTGTAATGCTGCCAGGTGTGATGTGTTAACAAGCAGAGCGTCATAAGGGGCTGTAGCTGGGAACAGCAGGTCTCTTTCTCTCCCCTTCCCCTCGATCTGCTCCTTTGCTGTCTTCTCTCTGTAAGGAAGCTGAGATTGTTTTCTCAGGAACTTGACTCTCTGGAGGAGGCTCTCATCAAAGCAGTGCCTTCCTGAGAATACAGCCAAAAATGGGATTTTGAGGCAGAATCATAGGCTGGGAGGCAGAGAGGCACAGTCAGGCTAGGCAGAGCCATGTAATTGGGCATGTATCACAATACCAGACCAGTGTCTGAGACACCACAGCACTATCACCTTCTAATTGTTTCAGCCAGGGTCACTATTGCCAATCCAGGTGGCTGACCTGTTCTTAAATACCATTCACCTCTTTCTTGGAGACCTCCAGGACCACATGTGGTCTAAAGATGAATTTTAATTCATATCAAGGGTGCATTCTGGTTTTGGGGTTGTCCTCCTGTGTGCTAGCCATTGATGTAGACACATGCATAGAATCGTAAAGTTTGGAAAAGACCTCCAAGATCATCAAGTCCAAGCTGTGACCTCTCACTACCTTGTCAACTAGACCAGAGCACTAAGTGCTACATCCAATCATTTCTTGGACACTTCCAGGGATGGTGACTCCACCACCTCCCTGGGCAGCCCCTTCCAATGACTGACAACCCTTTCCATGAAGAAACACCTGCAAGCAGAATCTCCAGATTTCTTGGGCTGTACCTGCTGACAAAAGACAATGAGACCTAAAACTCCCCGTGCAAAATACATGCTTCTGCTTTCTGTCATCAAGCACACAGTTCTGCTGTATGTCCTCCTCTTAACCTCTGCATCCTTAATCTTATTGTTCCGCAGTCAAAGAAGAAGAGAAGCGAAAGTTATTAAAGAGAAGCAGTGAGCTGAAGAGTGAGCATAGACAGTTAGAAGAAAAAGATCGACTTCTCAACAATGCAGTGAAGGTAGGACACCTGACTGGGGATGCAGAGTCTCCTGCAGAGATGTTTATAAAGAATATTTGCCTGAAAAACTGGTATTTTGTGGCTAGAAAATGATTTATGCTCCCAAGCTACAAATTTTCAAGTGTGAATATGTTTCTCTCTGAGGAAATACATGTGGATTTCCTTTATGCACAAAAAAAAGCCACTCTGGCAGGCTGAGGAGGAGAAATCCCTTGAATTCCTGTGGCACACATACACAAAAACCCCCAAATAGCTGTGGCTGCCTTCCTTGCTGTGCCATACATAGCTCTGATCTGGTCAGTGACTTCAAGGCACTTCCATCCTCCAGGTGAAAAGTTTAGTCACAAGTGTGTCCTCCAGTGGCAGTTGCTTGTCCATAAGCTCAAACCTCTTGAGATTAAGTAGAAATAGCCATCTTCATTTGTCTCAGGGACTGAATGTTGTAACACCTCTCCGTGACTGGAAATGGATTCATAATAATTTTCTCTGTTCTAACACATTTCAAAGCTAAATGTTGGCTGGAGGTGTCTCCACACATATTGTGCTATGAGGACCAGTCTCTGGCTGAGTAAACTGAATTCAGAGCCACAATTCGTATCCTTCATGGCTGAAGGAACTGATTTGGGGTGACCTCACCTCAGGCCCACTCTTAAGGGCTAGCTGTTAGTTTGCATGGCAGTCTAAATAAATATTTGACACTTCCCTACCATGGAAAAATCAAAGTGGCAGCTGCAGGAGTAACTGGTCACTGCTTGTTTTACCACTGCAGTTATCTAGAGGAGGCATGTTAAAATATTTATCACATTTAAAACAGAGTGGAAGGAAAAGCAATAACTTATTAAAAGACATCACAGTGGGGAATATTCCCTGTAAGTGTGCATAGCCACCATGAGCACTAATGGAAACACATATGTGTATGAAGTAGGTAGGAGAGTGCAGTGGGATGAGGAGTTTGGAAGAAGAAAAGCAATCAGTTATCAGGTGTATGTCAGGGCTGGCAAAATCACTGAGATTTCTACCTAAGCAGAATCAGTTGTTTCAGTGAGCAACACTATCTTATTTAAATGGTAGTATCAGCCAGTGATTATATTTATTGGAAATGTATCCAGTTGAAAGAAGAAAAGCAATTAAAGATGTTCCAAGACAAAGCTAATTAATTCTGACACTTTAAGAGAGATTTACATTAAAGGGAACACTCTCATACACCCCACAGGTGGAATGATATTATTTGGTAAAAACAGAACATGAATTGTCCTTCACCCAAGTTTCATTTGTCTAAACCAACCTTTGAGCAGCTCCACACAGTTGCTTTCCAAACAAGTTGACTGAAAGTGAGCATTTCACAGTTCCCCAGGACTGGAGAATCCTCACCCCTACCCTGAACAGTCTGGACCATAGCCAAGGAGGAGCAGTCTGCAGCCAAGTAACTAGTTTTGCCAGACCTCTGGGCCCACTGGGAGAAAGAAAACACGAGGTTTCAGATATTAGAGGCCGCTGTCCCCTTCCATCTAGCAGACAGCCTCAGGGTTTGGGTCTGTCACATAGTCCCTCACAGGCCTGTTGGTAGTGGAAAGAATAGGATGTTGGCTGCAACAGTCTGTGGTTGGGGAGGGAAAGAAAAATTACTGTTCCTTCCTTACCTCTTCATGGAGAGGCAGGAGATTTAGGATGCCTTTGTTTGGCTCCTGCTCTCATGCTCATTTTCATGCAGGTTTGTATGCAACATTTCAAGTGATCGTGGGTGCAGTTTGGCCACCCTGTAGGACAGAGGTTTTCTGGTGACTGCACTGGTGTAACAGTAGTGTCTGAGAGCAGAGTTTCCTGCCAGAAAAATATTGGCATCATGTTTGAAGAGATCAGCACATCTTCAGAGTACTGACTCCCTAAAATGTGTGGCATGTACAAGACACATCCTGGTGAGGTTTATCCCTCAAGTGTTTATCAGTGTGTTTGGGTAAGCTAGAGAGACCTTCCTGGTGCTGTTGCTACTTTCCAGTAACACAGCTATGGCACTCCCATGCCAGTCTTCTCTGTGGAGTGCACAAGGCATTTCTGCCAGGCTGTCTACAGGATGAGGTCGGAAATGTCCTCCAAATGTGTTTGGACTGGGATGAATATTGTTCCCTCAGACAGCTGCTGCAGTGTATGCAGCACTGGTGATTACTCCATTTGTTAAGCTGTGGTTTTGCTATCCCCAAAGGAGAATATACTTCATTTGAGCAGGACATGCACTCATGGCACAAAAGGATGTTTGGAGAGATGTTTGACACCAATTTGAATGTATTCTCAGTCTTCCCTTCTCTCTCCCCTTCTCTTTATTTGACAGAAATGCTTAGAGCTAAAAACCAGCCTGTTGGCCCAGCAGAAAGGGACTCAGTCATCACTGGAACGTCTCAAAACCCTCATTAGACTGATACAAAACGAGCAGATGATTCAGGTTACCATGACGACCACCACCACCTCCTCCCTGCTAACGGTCCCCTGGATCAAACCCTCCCCTGCCTCTGCTGCCATGCACAAAGCCTTGCAGCCCTCGCAGGGGAACAACTGACAGAGACGCGGCCAGAGGGCGAAGGAAGGGGGGACGAAAAACTTTATGCACGTGAGCAGAGGAGAGATTAAACTGGAACAAAGGAGAGAAGGAACAATCTCAGTTTTGATACGCGTAGAGACTTGCAGACCAGTCAGCCCAGTTTGTAGGTCACTGTGGCAGCAGGTTCCCACGGAGCGGGCGGTGCTGCGGTTTTGTATTTGCCAAGACCTTCAGTGCTTATGAGATTTTGTTTTGTTATGTTGGCCTTAATGTATTTATGACTGAGGATGAACAGGACACCTACGGCCGATAGGAAGAGGGATAGCCTTTTGTGGGGGGCAGGCAGGACTTCTGCTCTGCCCCGCGGGGAAATTTTCAATGCAAAGAGTTAGTGAGCTAGTAGAGAAGTAGTTGGGGCTGAGAGCTATGTGTGGGAGGGGAATCGGTGAGATAACCGGGAACTGAACTACTTAGGACTTGACATGGATTGTTTTCAGAGGAACCAAGTTGGCCCCGTTGGTTCAGGTGACCTGGAGATGGGGCAGTGACCAGAACGGCGTCACGGACACTCACAGAGCCTTCGAAACAAAAGATCATTTTTTTCAGTATTATTAGAGTTGAGAATTGCAGATATTTAAATAAAGAAACTGTATGAAGTTAGCGTTTCTAGTAAAATATTGAAGTATTTTCATGCTGATGCTTCTGTATATGCGTTCCGAAGTATTTAAAAAAGTATGACTGTAAAACTCCTTACTTTTTTGCAGGTCCTTTTTACTTATTTTGCTATCAGTGTATTTTTCTCACGGAGTTTTTGTGCAAGATTTAGCATAAACCATAATAGTGGATATCTTTGGCAGGTTGGGTTTCCTTTTTTAAAGAGATTATTTTGGGATTTTCTTTTGTTTTGTTGTTGTTCATTTTGGATTTTTTTAAAGGAAAAAAAAGCAAATAAATATTCTGTTTTTTGTTTATTGACAGTACAGATAATATGCCAAAAAGATAACTTTACATTTTTGTACTGCATTTTTATTGTTAAAAATATGTAATGTGATTTTAATTTTTTTTTCTTTTTTTGCTTGTAGAAATATCTGCTGAAATGGTACAGGAAAAAAAAAAACCTGCCTCAAGGGGTTGTTTCTCATACTGGATAATATCAAGAGTTCTGGGGGAGGGACAGGTCATGGGAAATGAAAAGGGTTTGTTGGGTTTTTTTGGACACTTGATTCCTTTTTGATATTTTGTTGGATTTTAGCCTATTTGGGAAGCATTTAGCATTAGCCTGAGAAAATCCCAGTGCGCCTGCTCGTTTCACTAGCTAGTCTTCCTGACACTGCAAGGGTCCAGCTGGTCCCCGCGGCCTGCCCGGGGAGGGAGTGATGGGCACCCTGGTTTTCTCAGCATGACACACCCAGGTGCCATCATCTCTGTCCTTCATGAGTTCTCCGTGGATTAGCACAACAGGTACTTAAGGAAAGCCACCAGAGCACGACCCAAGGCTAGTCTCTCACATCAGCATATCACACGGTGCCGAATCTCTTTTGTTGTTTTTAATAAATAGATAAAAACCCACGCGAGGGACTTGGCTTTTTCCGTCGCCCATCACTAGGCAGCACATGGTCCCTTCAACCATTTTCACAACTCCGGGAGAAACTGTGCAGTACTATACAAATCTATTTTAATACACAACACTCGGTTGAACAAGATTTTTATATTCTTTTATTGATGAACAAAGTGAACTAAGTAAAACACAATTGTTATACATTGGTTATTGTATGCCAATTATGCATTCTGACGTGGCTTGCAATGTAAATGTTTTCAGGTTTAATGATTTTTTGTTTCCTTATCAGACAAATAATTTTAAAAAAAAAGGTTAAAGCGTGGAAGGTTGAATATGTGAAGAATTTCTGAAGAGCTGTCTTGGACTGTTAAAAGTAGTTATTTTGAAAAGGGGACTGTCCAGTGGATAGTGTGCATAGAAAAAAAAAGTGTTTGTCTTAAATATGCCAATGTAGTTTTACTTCTTTATGATGCATTAAACTTGACTGACAATTTAACAGTGTTGTTGTGGTGGTATCTGCTGCAGAGGGGACATGGTGGCCTGCCCAGAGCCTGCTGCTGGGACCCCTTCTCTGGCCAGGCTCTGGCTGGGGTGGGGGGAGTGCTTGGTGCTGATTTCTGCACCACTGCCTTCAATTTTCAGAATGACTACAGAACTTCCTGCTCTCCTTCTCCCAGGAAGGTGACCCCTTCCTCGAGGCCACTGTCTCCCAAACAGTTTTTCTCTTGCATCCCTTGTGGGTTGTGTTTTTTGAAATTTTCACCAGGATTTATACACTGCAGTGGCCCAAACTGAGCTGAACTGAGTCAGTTTGGGAGTAAGACTAGGGCTCCCAGACAGGTCACACCGTGTAACATTTGACATGGTGTTGCCACGTCAGCCAAGCAGTCCATGAGTGCTCCTCATGGCCTTGCTGCATGCTGTGAGCAATGTGGCCCTTGCCTGCAGCAGGTCACCAGAGAAGGACTCCATGCAGACCAAGGAATCGTGTTTGGCTGCAGCAGATGTGCTGGCAGACCCCTGGGCTTTGGTTTCAGCTCTGCACTTTCAGGTGCTTTTCAAAACATGTGGTGGCCCCATTTTGCAAAGTCATTTACAAATCACTCTGTAGCTGTAGTAAGAATGAGAGAGATCCTTCACAGGACTTGCCTGGTTTCTGGACAGTGGAAGGGATGGAACATCCCAATAAAATTCACCAAATGAAAGCAAGACAATGTCCCAGCTGCATAAAACCTTCCACAGTGGCTAGTGCTTATGCAGACCAGAGGCAGAGTTGGGATTTTTTTTTGTCGGGGTAGGGGGAAAGGATAGTTTTTGTCAGAGGGTGTGTTGCCTTATTTTCTCTTCCTGGTAGTGTCACCATTTAATTTTGGGCTGCAATTAGCAGGGTAGACTCAGCGCTGTGCCTCTGCTTTCCCTGCTTAGCTGTCCCCTCCTCCCTCCCAGCCTCTGCTACCGAGGAGGCAGCCTGATGTTTCCTAACATTTCTTTCAGTATTAGAAGACACCTCTCCCCCATGCCAGAAAACCATATATAATCATCATCATCATCATCATCATCATCCTTCTGCCACCACCCTAACCTATAAACTCAGCACTGTGCTAACAGACAGGAGCCAATTACAGAGCTCTGCGTGTTGCCTTAATAATTAATGCAGTTGCAAGAGAGTGTAGGCTTCTGCTAGCCTTTAATCTTTGATAGTAATTTAAATGGAGGCTTTGGTGGAGATTTGTAGGAGCCACAGTAGCCTCCACGTTCCTTGTGTGGCACTGGGCATTGTCTTTGAACAGAATCGGGAGCCGCAGGGTTCCCAGCCTCCCCTCCCAAGCCAAAGTTATTTTTACAGCTATGCCAGACTTCACAGCTCCAGAGCTCTTTATTTTGCTGTGACAGACTGTTTTCTGTGCACAGGACCTTTGCACATGCCATTAGTTAGCTCGCAGAGGAGCTGTTCTGCAAACAGCCATTTGACTGAAACGCGTTGTGGCCAAGCCTAGCAGTTGTATATTTGCACCTCTTCAAACGTAATTTCGCCTACTCTTCCTCCTCTCACTGTCTCCTCCCTCGGAAATGAGAGGAAAAGGAACTCTTCTGTCTGACAGGAAATAACACAGAGCAATTCCAGGGCAGAATAAGGAGCACTGGCATAGCTTGTTGTCAGGATCTCAGATGTTTTAGGGCTTCCTACTCTTAGAGGGAGAAGCCACAGTGAATCCACTAGGCCCTAAATGCTCTAAACTCAGAAAGCAAAGTCAAGACCCATGATTTATTTATATTTTTTAATATATTTACTTCACGATCACTGCAGCAATTTTTGCCTGACGGATTTGAGAGCAGTGTCAGCCCAGCTATCAGCTTCCCTCATGGCACCTCTGCGTAGGGATGGCGACACAAAGCGCAGCAGCTGTACCAGGAGTTTATTCCACATGCACCCATCGTGCTTTCCTAGCAGTTTGATGGCCTATTAGGATCGCTTAAACTTTTAGAAGAGTGCATTATCAACTGATGGGTACTTTTTGTTCTGTGTTCCCCAGGTCCTCTGTAGTTGAAAAGAAAGTCATTATGCTGAAATGAGTGGCAACAGCCACATCAGATAAAAACTCAGCTCACTTTAATCAGGTTTTGCCAACTGCAGCTTATTTTGCTTAGAAAATGAAGCCTGGCTTCTGAGATCAATCACTACCGACTGACTGGTGCAAAGAGAAAATGCCAGACTTCGCTTCTGTAAGCCACTTTTAAGTTTACCATGGTGAAGATCATTAAAGCAGAAGTTGGAAATTTTTTTTACACCCTTAAAAAAAGCAAGCAAAAAATTAAATTGTCATGATAGAAAAAAAATTTACTACAAAGCATACACTGGCTTGATATAGAGATTCTAGCCAGGGAGAAGGAAAAACAAAAAAAAGATGCTGTTGCTCTTTGAAGTCCTTGTTTGCATTTGCACTGGCGGATTGCAGACGAGTCTGTGCTGTTTAAATGTAGCAGAAATGCTACACCACAACCTTTGATTATCAGCCTTGCTCATTAAGCAGTTACCAGAGAAATTTTAATTCGCTTTTGCGTTTCATCCTTGGGCTTAGGATGCAGCATTAAATCGCCTTTCCCCTCGATACTCATGCTGGAAGCACAGCTGACCAGCAGGACAGTTGCTGTTGGCAAACAATCTTCCAGTTGCCAAGATGCAAACTTTGCCATGAACATCCTGGTGCTGGTGCTGTGTCCATTCCATGTGGGAATGTTGCTGTTTGGCTGACAGTGTGTGCTCCTGCCCCGTTATGGTTGTGGTTGCTGAGCAGGATTGCAGCTGATTCCATGGACTTTTCACACAAGATATCTCTACCTTTTTTTTTTTTTTGACTTCTCATTTGTCTCAGGGTGTTCAAGCAGCTGGGGAAGAGTTGAGACTGTGCTGGGTGCTGCTGTCCCAGCTGTCCTTCTCCTCTTCCTCTGCGGAAGCCTC